AATAAGCTTATGAATGCATAAGCCCTGTATTATCATATTGAAAGTTGAGAGAGAGGGGGGAGAGAGGGGGGGAGAGAGAGAGAGAGAGAGAGAGAGAGAGAGAGTATTGAAAATCGATTGACATCTCCTTATGATGTATAGCTGATGGAGTGTTATGTCCATTGAATGGCTCATCTCTCCCTATACTATACTATTGAAAAAATAGTAAAATAGTGCCTAAATATAGAGAAAAGACTATTCATTGCAAGAAAAGCTAAATATACAGTATATATAACGCAAACAATTGTTATATAGTGTATATTCTCTAAAATCCTAAATACTCTGTAATACTTTGAAATACTATTGTTGACTATTTTTTACAGCAACCAAAGTGGAGGGCGAGTACTTGAATATAAGTCAAGTGACAAGAGGTTTGTCATCCATTATAAACACATAGAGAATAAACTTTTCTTTCAAAACATTGTATTTTTTGTTAGTTTTTATTTGTTTTCCAATTTAAATATTCTTTTCTATATTCAATTCATTTTCATTTCTAAAATATTCTCTTATTCTGTCATTTATTTTACTAAATATTTTATTTTATAAAAAATTGTTGTTTTGTTTTCCTTTTGCAAATGGAAAACATTATTTTTACTTATTTTCTAACTCTTAATATTAATATTACATTATTTTATTATTTTGTTTAAATTTAAATTTTCAATTAATTTCTAATTGTTTGTTATTTCATATAACCAGAGGATATGGGGGCCTATCTGTGCATAGCATCCAATTCAGTGCAACCAAGTGTTAGCAAACGTATGATTGTTGCCGTCAATTGTGAGTACAATTCATATTAACATTATCTTAGTTAAAATATAAGTCTTATGTCAAATACTGTATTATCTTATATTAGAAATATAGGATATATTAGTATAATTTATTTTTATACTATCTAAAATATTTTATAATATTGTAATGAAAATCGTATTTCAATTTTTTTCATAAACAAATGAGTTTGAAATCTTATACCGGTAATAGATTTTCTAAATTAAAGACTAAATTAAATAGTGAGTGTTTTGTATTATTGAAACTTATGAATTGTTAAGTAAAAAACATTTTGAATAAAATAGGAAACAAAAATTGAATTTTTTGCATTAAATTCAAAATTTGTGATGACTTTTGCAGAAATATTTCCATTTGTTTGACACAAAAATACATAAACTTTGAATTTCAAAAATGCTGTGAAACACAAGCAAATAATAATTTGTTGATTTCATATATCGTCTTACAGTTCGTCCAAAAATAAAAGTTTCGCATCAATTGGTTGGCTCGTCGTTAGGCACTGATGTGGAGCTGGAGTGTCGGTGCGAGGCTTCACCACAACCACACACCTCATGGATCAGGAGTGACGGCACAGTCCTGTCGGCCACTAATAAATATCAGACTCGAGAAGAACACGACTCTTATCGCACGAAAATGCGGCTAAAGATCACTAATTTGGAGGAAAAGGATTTCGGAAGCTATAAATGTGTCGCCAAAAACAGTTTGGGAGAAAAGGAGGGTTTGGTTCGCTTGTATGGTATGTCCACTAAAACAAACATTATGTACAGAATGACCACATATTTGGCATTTGTGCTCTTTCTAACCAATTGTTTGTGTCGATTCTGTAACAATATTCAAATGTGTCTCTCTTTGTATGCCTACAAACACTCGATCGAAAAGAAGTGGCAATTGCTGTGAATCAGGAGCTGTCGCCGAGTGTATGGCCGCCGGGTTTCCTGAGTCCTTCCCATCGGAACAATTCGTTGATGCGCTCAAACATGGGGTCATCGATGATGGGCGACAACACTAAACAACACGACACCCAATCCGTGTCCTCGAGTGCCGCCAAAAGCGATTCGTCGAAATCGTCGGCAAATCATAATCTACTCAATCGATTGATACCTTATATGACCACTACTTTCGTAATACTAGTCATGGAAAGCAATTTAAACTCTCTGTTAATGAAATCGTAAATTAATTTTTGTGTGCAAACAAACAAACACCAAATGATGGATTGATTTTCACACATTTATATATATCTATTATGGACTTAATTATAGATCAAACAAACACAAGATTATACACAACAACTTTTGAATGTTTTACATTTATTTGAAATAAGAATTTGGTATAAATTAATATACTATACACTACTGTATACTCACTTACACCTAAAAGCATATTATAAGTGCCAATCAATTGGTAAAAAGTTATACTACTGTTGAGTTAAATGTGACCAAGATCATTATATTGATAAAATATGGTATAAAGTTTGACAACAATAACCTATGGATACATTTTGATAAAATCTAAATCTATGAGACAATTGCATTGAAATATCTTTTCAGTATATCATAAATAACTGGTTTTCGTATGAAAAATGCATTTTAAATCTTTGAGAAAAACTGTTTGTTTGCAAAAAATAAATTGTAGTAATAATTATAAATTGTATATTTTGAATGAAACTAATGTAATATATTTAATGAGAGAATACACACAGAATTGTTGTAAATATTTGTATTACTGTATTATAAGAATCGCATTCAAAACTTATTAGATTTAATAAAGAAATAATTTTAAAGTAATTGACAATTAAAGTCATTAATCAACTCTCTATGAACTTGTCATGAATATACAGTTTTATTTAAGTTATAAAATAAATTAATATTTAAACAAAAGATGTCAATAGTTGTCCCATAAGTGACAATAATTTAAGTCAAACCTAAAGTTCAGTTTTTGATTATTTTTATGGCCAACAGATGGAAGTAATGGTTCCACGAGTCAATTCAAATTGAGTGAAACCTAAAGTTCAGTTTTTATTAACCAATAGATGTCGCTATAGGTCTCATAAGGCATTGTTCACAAA